TTCAGTTTGGCAACTAGTGAGTATCTGAACTGGCACTATCAGGTATAGATTGACCTAATGTATTGAGATAATTATTACTGATATGTGCACAGACACAGACATACAACACACACACTAACATTTGACATTGACTTAATATTATTATTAAGTTTCTTACGCATATATTTCAGAAGTTTAGTTTTTGCTTTGCCCAGTTGATTAGGATAGTCATCACAAAGTTGTTGTATTGTATCCCAATTGACATTTTTATCAGTTTCGAACCATCTCTGAAATACAATAATAAGATTACCAGTTGCTGTGTCTGGTATTTGCTTCAGATCAGACACAGATACATTCAATCCAGCTCCTATTAGCATGTAATGGTGAGCAGAGGAAATAAATATCCTTGTAACTGATGACATATCAAGCTCCTTGTCTATAATAAAGGATTTATAAAAATAATAAAATACATAAAAGTAATACTTAATTTTCACCTCCACTAAGAACATGTTTTTTGAAATTAAAATTAAATATAAACTAAATACACAAAATAACACCTTCTCAATACTGGTATATCCTTTGGAATGCATGCAAAAGTGTATGAGGTATCATAAAACTTGCAATAAGTTATACATGATTTATCGTGCATACTTACCTTCAAGGGTACTACTTGGGTTATCTTGATGCATTTTGCGCTTAACTTCAACAAGCTCATCATTAGTCATAAACCAGGACCAATACTCATCACAATGAGAGTGTGATAAATCCTGCCCTTCACCTGTTCTACTACACATGATAAACACATTCCTGTCAACAGTAGCTACATGTTGTTTTTTATCTTTGCAGGGACAGTAAAAAGCTGTAATTGGTTTTTCATAGTCAATAAATTTGTCTTTCATGACTTCATTAATGGCTGTCTCTATACAATTATTTATACTTTGTCTCTCGTGGAGTTTTTCACAATAGATTGCAATGCAGTAAAGCTGCTCCACCAGTAATACTTTGCACATTCTGTTTTTATTAATAATTTTCTTCTGTATATTAAAATAATTTGAGAAATTGTGTTCTTTTGTAATGATACCCCATTTTTCATCACCAGGATAAGAGAGGAGCTGAACAATGACAGCACAAAACAGACCCATTGGCACTGGTTCTTTAAAATAATAAAGAAGAGGTGTTTTAGACAATGTGGAAGAATCAGAAACATTTTTGACAGGAAGCAGAGCAGGCATCAAAAAAACTACATCTTTTTTATCTGTTTGATCATTTTCATCTGTTGGTATCAAAGCAGCAATTTTAAGATACTTAAATAAACCCAAAAGAATGTTTTCTCTACCCTTAAGTGAATCATCTGTATTCTGTTCTATAACTTTAATAGATAAATAACCTTTTGTTGCTAACTGTGCCATTTTGTCAGAACCATCCTTCAATTCATCAAGAGGCTTACAAACTTTAATCATCAATTTTTTAATTATGTTAATGACAGCATCCAGCTTAACAGATACAATATCTTTTGCTGGTGAATCATGATAATAAAACAGCATTTTTAATGTATGAAAAAAGTTCAGAGCACTCGTAACTTCTTTTTCTGGCATATCTAACAAGCTACCAATCTCTACACAAGAAGATAGTTCCAATATTCCATTATTCTTTTTTGCTTTCTTACGAAGAATAACACCAAAGTAATGCCACTTAAATGCTACTTCAATTTCATAAGCTTGTTCATTTAATGCTTTACTTATAGT